GATCCCATTGTAGCTACCACTGGGTCACTCCACCTCCTCCTTGAGGGTCTTCCTCTCTTACGCTGACCCTCCCACTTTACCAAGCATAATAGCCTTCTCCAGGGACTGGTCCCTCCTGATACCTTGTTGGAAGTATGAGAAGCCAGCCTGGCTTCTAATAAGCTTTCTGCCTGTACTTCTTCCAAGACAGATTTGTTTGTTCTTTTGGCAGTCCATGGTACTTTTAATATTCTCCTCCAATGCTACTTTTGATAATGATCTTCAATTCTTCTGTGGTCTTCCCCATTCATTGTCCAACTTTTGCATGCATATGCAGTGATTGAAAATACCATGGCTTGGGTCAGGCACACCTTAGTCCTCAAGTTGATACCTTTGCTCTTGAACACTTTATTAAAGAGGGCTTGTGCAGCAGATTTACGTAATGCAGTAAATCATTTGATTTCGTGACTGCTGCTTCCATGAGTCTCGTTTGATTTTTTTGATTACTTCCATGAGTGTTGATTATAGATCCAAGCAAAGGGCCTTTGACAATTTCAATCTTTTCTCCATTAGTCATGGTATTATTTATGGGTCAAGTATGGTGAAAGGATACAACCCTGACACACACTTCCTCACAGTAACTATTGTTAAATATAACCCACATAAACGAAACAGCACTTTGGGGGTATTCAATTATTTGTAAGAGTGCAGAAGAGATCCAGAGACCAAAAAGTTCAAGAATTTGCTGCTCTAAAGGAGCTCTGGTAGCGTAGTGGTTATTAATCAGGCTGCGAACCTTAAGGTCAGCAGTTCGAAACTACCAGCTGTTCCATGGGAGAAAGATGAGGCTTTCTGCTCCCGTAAAGATTTACAGCCTCGGAAACCCTGTGCAGGGTCACTGTGAGTTGGAACTGACTCCAAGGCACATAACCACAACCACCACCAAGGTGTGGCATAGTGGGTTATGCATTGGGCTGCTGACCACAAGGTCAGAAGTTCAAACCCACCAGCTATTCCAAGGGAGAAAGATGAGGGTTTTTGCTCTTTTGAAGTTGCACAGCCTTGAAAACCCATACAGGGTGCCTGTGAGTTGGAACCATCCTGACGGAACCCAACCACCACACCATCAGGACATGTCCTGTTGTGGGTCCTGGTGTGGCCCTGTAGGGTAAGCACTGGACTGGTAATTGCAAGATAGTTGTTGTTAAGTACTATCGAGTCAACTCTGACACATAGAGACCCTGTATAGGGTTTACAAAGGAGCTCTGGTGGCGTAGTGGTTACAAATCGGGCTGCGAACCACAAGGTCAGCAGTTCGAAACGACCAGCTGTTCCTTCGGAGAAAGATGAGGCGTTCTGCTCCCATAAAGATTTACAGCCTCAGAAACCCTGTACAGGGTCGCTATGAGTCGGAACCGACTCCACAGCACATAACAACAACAGCATAGGGTTTACAAAGAGTGGCTGGTGGGTTTGAACTATCAACCTTGCAGTTAGCAGTCCAGTGCTGATCCTATAGTGCCACACTACAAGGTAGGCAGTTCAAGCCCACCAGCTACTCCTTGAAATGCTCAAGAGGAGCACTTAGCAAAAACAAGGGCTAGCACTTACAGCAAGGGGTGTGTATACAACAGTGAAATTGATACCTGTAAATGAGACTCACATTCATTGTTACTAAGTTTTCCAAAGTGATTGTATCGATTTTCATTTGTTTTCTCATATCCTAAAATTCACCAGTGTGTTTCTTTCTTTCTCACCCAGCATCTGATGGGTGTGGTGGGATATCTCATTGTAGTTTCTATTTGCATTTCTTTGAATACCAGTAAGGGTGAGAATATCTCTTATCTTTTTGGGTCATTTGGTTTTCCTCTTCTGTGAAAAGCACCAGCCTTTTCTTAGCCCTTTGTTTAGCTTGTCATGTTCTCACACAAACCAAAACAGCCTTTACACTGACAGAAGAGAGCAAGGTCTAGGAAAACATGAGAGACAGGGAATGTTAACCCTAAACTTACCGCAGACTCACTCCTGTCAGCTATGTCCTTTCTAGAGCCAAATTACTCCTTTCATCTTTCTGGTCCTGCACTATCATTATTCAGGACACGCTAACTTGGACATGTCATCAGGAAGGACCAACCCCTGGGGAAGGGTCAACGAAACAGAGGGCGAGCTTCAATTAGAATGATTGACCCCAGTGGCTGTAACTGGCCTCAGACAGCCTTCCTGTTGGGACCCAGCACAGGACCAGGCCAAGTGTCCTTCTGTTGTGCATGATATCCTTCTTTAGGGACTGGCCCCTTCTGATAAGATGTCCAAAGTATGAGAGACGAAGTTTGGCCATCTTGGCCTCCAAGGAGCACTCTGGCTGCACTTCTTCCAACACAGATCTGTTGGTTCTTTTGGCAGCACTTTCAATATTCTCCTCCAACACCATAACTCAAAAGCATCAATTCTTCTACGGTCTTCCTTATTCACTGTCCAGCTTTCGCATCCATATGAGGTTATTGAAAATACCACGGCTTGGGTCAGACGCACCTTAGTCCTCAAGCTGACATCTTTGCTCTTCAATACTTTAAAAAGTTCCTGTGCAGCAGATTTGCCCAATGCAATACGTCGTCTGATCTCTTGACTGCTGCTTCCGTGAGTGTTGATAGTTGATCCAAGAAGAATGAAGTCCTTGACAACTTCAATCTGAATAGTTTGTTGTTAAGTACTGTTGAGTCGATTCTGACCCATAGTGACCCTGTATAGGGTTTCCTAGGAGCAGCTGGTGGGCTTGAACTGCCAAGCTAAGAAACATTGCCTAAGGTTTATCTACTACAGAACCACTTGTTTTATAAGAGGTCTTTAAAAACTTTGTGGGAAAATGGAAAATTCTCTATGACCTTTTCAAAACCCTATACAAGGTCGCCATGAGTCAGAACTGACTCGATGGCACTTAACAACAACAACAGTGTAGACTGGAAAAATAGTGCCCAGACATTAAGAGCCATGTCCTAGGTAACCCACTGCCATCGAGTGGATTCTGACTCATATTGACCTTGTTGAATGGAATAGAACTGCCCCGTAGTTTCCAAGGCTGTAAATCTTTACAAAAGCAAAAAACAAAAACAAAATACCAGAGAGAATAGAATACTGTTAAATTATGATGCATGGAGGGGATTGTAATCATTGCAATGAAACGAAATACAATAGGATGAGTGTAAAGCTGCTGTTCTCCCATGTAAACAACTTCTACTCAATTCACAATAAAAACTTAAAAAAAAAACAAACAAATTGACTCACCTTTCTCCTGTGGAATGGTTGGTGGATTCAAACCACTGACCTTTTGGTTAGCAACCCAACCTTTGATCCATTGTGCTACCAGAGGTCCTATCATGTCTGCACATGCTTGATTTATAGGTTAATCTGTATCTCATGGTTGTTGTGACCAGGTGCCCTGGAGTCCATTTCTTAATAGAGAGATCCTTCGCACAAAGGGCAACACTGTCCTGATTGCACCATCCTCACAATTGTTGTTATGTTTGAGCCCATTGTTGCTAAGTCGGGGTACTTACTGTGTCTGAGACTTCCAAATAATTTTCATACAGAGTTTTTGTTCTGATCCATAGCAACACTGTGAGTATATAAAGTAGATTAAAAATAAAAGGATTGAGACTCAGAAGAAGATAAGTCTCAATGTGTTTTGTTTTTCCTGCCCTTTCAGCTATTGTCTCTTTGTTGTTGTTGTTAAGAGCCGTCGAGTTGGTTCCAACTTAGGACCTGAAATAAGGCAATGTGTATAGAGAAGAGCTTTGTTGTTGTTGTTGTTGTTGTTAGGTGTAGTTGCGTCCATACTGACTCTTAGCGACCTTACACACAACAGAATGCCTGGTCCTGCCCCATCCTCACAACCCTTACTGTGCCCATTGGAATAGGAAATGATTACTATTAGAAATGGTGGCCACAGAGCCTGAAAAATACTAAATACCTAATAACTGCATGCATAGCCAGTCTTCCATTTTGCTTTTAGTTCATTTTTTTTCTGTGACCCTTGCCAAATGCCTTTTTAAATAGTTGTTATTTTTTAAGTGCTGCCTAGTCGGTTCTGACGCCTAGCAATCCCGAGTAGGATTTCCAAGTTTAAACCACCAACTTGCAGTCCAAACCAACCTTGTGGTCCAGTGCTTATCACCAGCACCACACCAGGACTCCTAGTCTTTTTAGAAGCCCTTCTAGCTGAGTGAATTACAAGCTGAGCTGCTAACCACAAGGTCAGCAATTTGAACGTACCAGTCGCTTTGAGGGAAAAGGATGAAGCTTTCTGCGCCACACCAGGACTCCAAAGATTTGTTGTGGTTGTTGTTTAGTGTCATCAACTCAGTTCTGACTCATAGTGACCCTGTATAGGGTTTCTGATGAATGGCTGGTGGAGCTAAACTCAGAAACCCTATACAGGGTCACTATGAGTGGGAACCGACTCCACACCACACAAGCACTACCACCAGTCCTGTCTTGGAGTCCTTGGGTAGTGCTATAGGATAAGCACTGGACCACAAGGTCAGTTTGAACTGTAAGGCCAGCAGTTCAAACCCACCAGCCACTCCATGGAAACCTTATACAAGGTCATTATGAGTCGGAACCAACTTGAGAATACTTTACACTAACAAGTCTTTTCTTGACAGATAAAATTTCTTTAATTTTGATTGATTACAGTAAGGGTTTCCAGTTAAGATAAATAATTCATCTTCTGAAATGTTGGGTTACAGTTTTCGAGAGCAGTTGTGCCAAATATTTTATCATGGTCTTGTTTTTTGAATCTACAGTGGCTTACTTAAATGCGTAGTCTTTAGATAACTGTATTGTCTTCACACTCAGAAATTCTGTCAATCCTGTGTGTTGCATTTTCATCACAAAGTCCATCTTTTTGTCTGCCCTCAAATAGCTTGGTTTCATCATTTTGGATCTTCTTTGGCAGTAGTGTTTGTTACTAGTCATTATATATAATTCATCTGACTTGAAGATTTATAATTCTTTTTCTCTAGATAAGTCAGATAAATATGATGCACGTGATGTTGAAAGACTACAACAAGATGATAACTGGGTTGAAAGTTACTTAATTTGGAGACATAACGTCGTAGATGAAACCTTGAAGATGCTTGATGAGAGTTTCCAGTGGAGGAAAGAATTTGCTGTCAATGGTAAGCTATTCAATGTAATCTCTGCCTAAATGTTACTGCTTTAGATTCAGCTTTTATATTTATCTAAGTGTCTGGAACTCTGGTAGCGTAGTGGTTACATATCGGGCTGCTAATGTCACGGTCAGCAGTTCAAAACTACCAGCTGTTCCGCAGGAGAAAGATGAGGCTTTCTGCTCTAATAAAGATTTACAGCCTCGGAAACCCTGTACAGGGTCGCTATGAGTCGTTACCGACTCCACAGCACGTAAGAACAACAGTTGTCTGTTGGAATCCTGGTGTGGCGCTGTAGGATAAGCACTGGACTGCAAAGCCACAAAACCAGTGGTTCAAATCTACTCCTCGGAAACCCTATACAGTGTTGCTATAAGTTGGAACCGACTCGACGGCACTTAACAAACAAGTGCTTACCTGTAGATCTTCTTGGCATTCATCATAAACCCCAGAGTATAATTGCTGATAAAGATCAAATCCCATCTTCAAAGGGGCTTCTTCCTAGTACATCTTACAAACAGAATCACTCCTAAGGCCATCATTATCACCAGGGAGCAGAAACACATGGACATCCTTCGCTCGGCAGAGTCTCCTAGTCTGTGCTTGGGTAGTGTCTTAGTTACCTGTCTCTATGCTGCTAGACCACAGCTGAATGGCTTTATAAACAAATTTATTCTTTCACACTTTAGGAAGCTAGAAGTCCAAATTCAGAGCGCGAGTTGTGGAAAGCATCCCTTATCCCCTTCTCAGCATCTGGAGGTCCAGCATTCCTGGCAGATCTCCATGTGTCTTGGCATCCATCATGCCTGGGATCTAGGAGCTTCACAGTGCAGGACATCAGGTCCAGTGGACTCACTCCACTATCAGCTCTGCTTGCTTGGGGGTAATAGGGCCCTTTTCTAACTCAAAAGAGATTAACTCAAGTTACAGCCTAATCCTGTAGGTTGCATTCAGCCTCAGCCTCTTTAACATCACAGAAGTGAGGATTTACAACACAGATGAATTACATCAGATCAGGGCTGATCACAATAGGTCAAGTCATGGGAGAAGTAATTATATAAGATCTCATGGAGTGGGGGTGGGGGGAATATGTCTTAACTGCTAAAGCACGGAATCTGAACTATCACAGAGAGTACCATTAAACAATATCAAGACAGCATCTTAGTAGAAGCAGCCCGGGAGTCACGGCAACCCCAAACACAGTGGAACAAAAGGCTGCCTGGCCCTGGGCCCAGGAAATAGAATTTGTTTGCCTGTTTTTCTTAGTTGTTCCTTGATGTCTTTCTCTATTCCTAGATTGCCTTCTTCTTCTAGGTGCTTCATATGTAATTGCTAAATGAATGGGAATTGCAGAGAAGCTAGTTTCTTCCTAAAGGTGTCTATGGCAACCTTCTCTTAGCTTTTCATTTCCAATCCACCACTAGACTGAAATTTGTATCGAGTTTCATCAGAGCTTCATTCATGATCCTTAGCCACCTCTTTCTTGGATCTCATTACTTTTCAAAAACAGGAGTTTAAAATCTTGGAGTTTTCAGGATAACTTTTACGTGGAAGAACAACTCTTAACAGAAAAGATGGCCTGTTCCTTTCTAGTCCGAAAATTGAGTAAGAGGAAACCGTCCTACCCACCCATGTCCATTAGGCAGAAAGGAGGCAGCCCTGCCCTGGCTATGATCATCTCTGCACTGGTGACCTAATACAGAGTTGTCATCGTTGATAACCCTCCCCGTATAGGGTTTCCGAGAAGTGGCTGCTGAGTTCGAACCACCGACCTTGCAGTCGAGTGCTGCAGTGCCACACCAGGACTCCACCAACTAGTTGTAAAGCATGAGATGGGAAGTATTTACGAGATAATTTGTCTAGATATGTAAATGCTACAGATACTTCCAAAAACCAGTGACACATTTGCTCATCAGGCCAAGAACTAGAAACTTGACATTCTATGAAATCATTTCAGCACAGAAGAAAGCTTTAATTGCTACAATAATTGTTTTCTTGAATATATAATTGCTAGTTTCTGTTGGCAGAGGCGTCCTGGTGGTGCAGTGGTTAAAGTGCTCATTTGCGAATCGAAAGGTCACTGGTTTAAACCTACCAGCCTCTCTGGGGAAGAAAGATGTAACCATCTGCTTTCGTAAAGACTGTTGTTGTTAAGTGCCAAGGAGTTGCTTCTGATTCAACTCCTTGCTTCTGATTCAACCCTGTAAAGAGTTTCTGAGGCTGTACATCTTTGCGGGAGCAGGATACCTTTTTCCTTCATAGCAGCTGATGGGTTTTAACTGCTGGCATTTTGATTTGCAGTTCAGTGCTTATCCTAGAGAGCTTTATCCTACCTTGCTTCCCTGTAGAGTACAGCCTCAGAAACCATATAGTTTATTAGCAATACTGTTTGTTCCACTGGATTTTCTTTTTCCCTTATGAGCAACATTTGTATATTTCCTATGGAAAAAAGTCATTTGCCTTTTAGTTACTCTTTAATGGGGCAGTTGGACTCTGACCTCCTACAGGGTCACTATGAGTTGGTTTGGTTTTTTTATTTTTCTGTTGGTAAACAACAGAGACATGATAAAAGAGGGATGGAGTAAGAGAAAGTTCTTTGGAAACTCCTAGTGAACGAAAACCAAAGCCTTCGCACTTCAGCAGTTCCTGATTTTCTGTATGTTGGTCCTCAGCCTCATTAGACACGATGCAGGCCCTTTCTTTTTCTTCCTGCTAAAGGCCCTGTCATTTTTCTTGAATGATTTTCCACTTGCCCCAAAGTTGTAAAATGCCTTAGATTCTACTGGACCTTTTTTTCCCATTAATTCTGTGGCTACAACATGAATATTTACTGGGATGTTAAAATGAAAAGTTCACCAGTGATAATATTAGTCATTGCATGAAGCACAGCCAAGATTTGATTGCTGGTATGTCCGCATAACATAATGGCCAGCGGAGTAAAGGAAATGGATTTTTTTCCCATTTGTTATATTTGTGTCTTTACATAGTTTATGTGATAAGAAAGACCATCTTAATTGACAAAGGCTCTTTCCAAATGTTTGACTAAGCTTTCTCTTGTTTGTATCAAAACTACTATATATAACATCTTACTTTTGTGAGTTTTCCTTTTAGAGACATAACTAAATTACTTTTACTGATCAAAATTCATTACTTTTTAGACCTGAATGAATCCTCCATTCCTAAAAGGTTATTGGAAATTGGTGGTATTTATCTCCATGGTTATGACAAAGAAGGGAACAAACTGCGTAAGTATATTTAATTTCTACCGGCTGTTCAAGATTGAGATGTGGATACCTAGCGCAGTTAGATTAATCATAAGCAGAATGTTCTTTCTCCAAATGTGGTGTACCTTAAGTTTCCTACAGTTGGGCATCATTAGAGCCGTTTTGACCAAATATCAAATCTTGGTCGTTATGTCCCCAGCTTACATTTTAATAAACAAGACAGTATAGGTACACATTCCATCCTATATCACAGTCAAAATAATTCCATTCAGAATCATCTTCCTTGTCATTTGACTTGTAATGGTAAAATTCCACACATTATTTTTTATGCAAAATCATCTGGACCATCGCGAAATACAGTGTTTTCCTTTGTAAGTGTCCCACCATCTTCTCCCCTTAGCTTCTTCATAAATGTGTGAAATAGCGAAGTGGGTGGAACAAATAGCTCCATTGTTACGCTTCTCCAGTCTCCTTTACCCAGAATGCAGCTGAGCTTTGTATGAAGGCCCTGACAGGAGAGCCAGCGTTCTGACAAGTCCATTCTATACCCAGTCTGCACTCCTCCTGCTTGTCCTCTGAGTTGTTCCTGTCTTGATGGTTAATCTCTGCATTTTCCCTCCAGCTCCCCCTTCTCAATCTTCTGATTCTTCATGTTCCTCCTGTGTCTTTCCCAGTGTCCCTTCAATCCTGGGCCCCTTTTAGTTGCCAGTTGACACAGTCTTCTTGGTGGTCCCCAGTGATGACCCCACACTGGCTCCTACTCCCAGTGACCACCAGCCTCCTCCTACACAGCACACAACTGGACCTCTGCACCATACCAGCTGACCAGTCTCTGTAGTTCCCAGCTCAGGCCCACCTGAGAGTGATGCCAGGGGCTCCTCATTGACTCTTCTCTTTCTCCTAGCCTAATTTAGCCCTTTCTCCAACTTCACCAGCCACTTCTTACCTTCCATCCCTAATCTCACGTCCGTCCCTCTTCTCTCCCCTTTCTTAGGTAATGGCCTGCGGAGTTTCCTTCTCATCCTCTTCTAAGCTACCTTCTAAGCCACTACCAGGGAATCATTTAAAAATAGGTTCCAGCCACCCCACAGCTTAAAATCATCAAGTGGCATCACGTCTCTTCTAGGAAACTGAAAACGCAGTATCCTATCCCTCAGATTCCTGCAAGCTCAGCCCTTTCTCTCTGTTTAGCGTCTCCTGACACCCCACTTCCTATTCAGTCTCAGCTGCCACCCCCATGCCCAACCCCCTCCCTCCCCGCTCCTGCCTGTGTCCCTGCCTGTCCCTTGGGTGGAGCATCACTTCTAGAGCTTGAGGGTAACAATGGCTTCTTTCTTGTTCAGTAATCAGGATACCGAATATTTTTAGCTTATTAGCAATACTGTTTGTTCCACTGGATTTTCTTTTTCCCTTATGAGCAATATTTGGGTATTTCCTATGGAAAAAAGTCATTTGCCTTTTAGTTACTCTTGAAGACTTAATGTGCATACTATTTCACATTTAAAAGAAGGAAGAGATGTTTTGAATCTGAGAAGTACAATGAATTAAAAATATCGAGGGAAAGGAATTCTATATGAAGGGGCTTCAAAAAGCTGATAGAAAAAAATTCCATGTCTTTCATTCCACTTTTTCCATGAACTTTTGAAGCCCTCTCCTTTATGTACCCTGTATTTTTACACAAAGAACGCATGCCTTCTATGTTTGTTTGCCAACCATGTCCACCCCAAGACACATTTTCATAGGTGCTATTTTGACAGTTTTCTTTAACATGTATGTTGTTGTATCAAAAAGAAAGAAAACAGTAACATGACACGGTTACAAAATTACCTCATGGGAGGAGAATGTAGTTGGCAACCAGACATGAGAGTTGTGTGTTTCTTGCATTAAATACGGTATATATGTGAGAAACCCTGGTGATGCAGTGATTACGCTCATCTGCTAACCACATGATCAGCGGTTCAAACCCACCAACCACTCTGGGAAGAAGACATGGCAGCCTGCTTCTGTAAATATTTACAGCCTTCGAAACCCTATGGGACAGTTCTCCTCTGTCCTGTAGGGTCACTATGAGCTGGAGTAGACTCGGTATTAATAGATTTGGTATTTTGGTTGGATCTACACGTGCATGTGCGCACGCGCACAGGCACATACGCATGCCAGAAAGTCACAGCCCTGAATGCCTTGTGGAGCACGTGGTCTTCACATATGGGGTTATCATGAGTCAGAATAGACTGGACAGACATGAGGGGATTTCAAAAAGCCCATGAAAAATTGAATTAAAAGAGAATGGAAGTTTTCCAACAACTTTTTGAAGCCTTCTGATATATAACTGGTTTTCTTATACTTATCTTTTTTTTGATGCATATATATGTGTATATATGTATATATCTTTCATTCTCTTTAAGTCTGGATCAAGGTGAAGTACCATGTAAAAGACAACAAGACCGCGTTGGACAAAAAGAAGCTGATAGCATTTTGGTTGGAACGTTATGCCAAGAGAGAAAATGGGAAACCTATCACAGTGATGTTTGACCTATCAGAAACTGGCCTTTATAACATAGTAAGCATTTTCATTGCCGTCATCATTGTAATTCTAAAGCATTGTTGATCATAGCTTCCTCCTCCCATCATCCTGAACCAAATAGTGCAGTGAAACTGAGAAGACTAACTTGTGTTTGGGACTGATTTCTCCCCCCAACCCCGCCCGGAATTGTAATTGAAGTCCAACATGGATGGAATAAGGTTTTGAAGAACTAAATGTGCTTCCATATTTGGCATTGAAGTTGTGGCTTTTGTAGCCATGCTCCTGATCTGATTACATTGGGGGGTGGGGAACTTGAGACTGGCAGGCTACAGAGTGAATGATCAAACCTGACATCCAACAGCCCCCACTAGCCCTGGGCTTGGCACACAGTAATACACTCAATACATATTGAGTAAATGAACGTATGGGCTGCAGTGTTTGATGATATTCGTACCATGCTTTACAGGTGTAAGACGTACACATGAGTTTTATGGTTATAGGACTTTGATTTTGTCAGTTACTTTGGTTTGTTTGGATTTGTTTTTTGTTGGCTTGGTTTGGTTAACTGGAAGCCAGCGTTTCTTTAGGTGACTTTGCCAAGCTTAAGAAATAAATGAAACCCACCTGCACTGTGAGGATTGCTTTCTAGCCAGGGCCTTGTAACTCCCACCAAATGACAGGATGTTGTTAAATGCCATCGAGTCGGTTCCAACTCATAGTGACCCTGTATAGGGGTTCCGAGGAGTAGTTGATGGGTTTGAACTGCCAACCTTGTGGTTAGCCATCCTATGCCTGTCCTACAGCATCACACATGGTACCGTTGTGGGGGTAAGACCATGTCAATATGAAGTCAGAACCCTAATGGAATAAGTTCGTTTTGCCATCTTATAGGCTTAAAAGAGACCCAATCCCACAGCCGAGGGGGGGATTCACTGCTACCAGACAAAGAGACTTGACTAGAGTGCATCCTTTGAACTTGGAGCCCCTGTACTGAGAACCCCCTAGACCCAGAAGACAGAGAACTGTAACACTGGAGACCATGACAGACTATGAGAAGCAGGCAACAGAACCAGGATACCAACAGGAGATGGCTTCGCAACCCACGGGGGGTGGGGAGTGAAGTGCTGGGCTCCCTGACCTACAGAGCAAAAATGTTGAGGGCCTTTAGGGCGCCTCTGGGCACCTGTTGGTAGAGCTAAAGAACTTTATAACACTTGCCCAAGCAGGGCAGGGGCCAGGGAGAGACTTGCCTAGTGGCCTGGCTAAGACGAGGTATCCTGACAGAAAAGCTTGATCCTGAGTTCTATCCATTACTTCTCTACTAAATCCATAGTCATGAGTGGGAGCTCTGTGCAGCGGAGTCTCAACCCCGTTATGAGTGGAGAGTGCCATGGGAGGAATGGCTGGTATCCAGATTGATTTCAAAACAAACATGGCAAGGAAATGATATACGATAAGATAAATGTAAAGCTAATGTTCTCCCATGTAAACTACCACATAATTCACAATAAAACATTTCCAAAAAAAAAAAAAGTTGGAGAGAAGAGGTATGTCTGACCTCTGCCTCATAGGAATTCACCTTAGGTTGATGCTCCTGGTGGTGATACCCCCCTCGTCCCCCACCCTCTGTGCCATTAGAGGAGGTCAGATGCCCCCACACTGCCATTTTTACACTGTTGCTGTTAAGGGCTGTCGAGTCGTTTCCGACTTATAGTGACTCTGTATAGGGTTTCTGAGGAGCAACTGGTGAATTTGAACCACCAACCTTGCAGTTCAAACTGACCTTACAGTCACATTTAGCCTAAGCGCCACACCAGGACTCCTAGTCTTTAATTTGGACTCCTAGTGTGGTTCTGTAGGATCAGCACTGGACTGCAAACCAAGGTGGGCAGTTTAAACCTTGTACAATGTCATTATGAGTCAGAACCAACTCAATGGCACTAAACAACAAGTCTTTAATTGGACCTTCAACCTTAATAAGGTTCCTGAGTGGCACACAGTTTGTACTTGGCTCGTAACTTAAAGGTTGGCAGTTCGTAGCACCCGGGGGCACTGTGGCATAAAAATTATAGCCAAGAAAGCCCGATGGGGCAGTTCCTCTCTGTAACATGGGGTTCTTGCTGTGAGTTGACATGGACTTGCAGGCAACAGGGTTTTGGTTTGGTGACCCTGGTGATATCTCCAACCCTTCCAGGATCAACTGAGGCCATATGGCACATTTATAGTAACGCATCTTTTATATTTTAACTGTGGCAAACTCTGGTGGGAGTGAAGTCAGCATTCACAGACTTGCTTCGGGCCGTGTTGGTAGCCTTTTGAAAATCCATTTGGCAAATGTGTTAAGAACTTTAAAGTGCATGTGTCCCTCCTCTTTGCTTGGTAACTAACTTGTGGAACTCTGGTGTAAAGAAGTCACCCTGACCTAAGTACAGGAACTAGCTGCGTGCACTTACAGATTGCTCCACAGCGTCAACGCAGTGATGTGCTCTCATGTGGCTGTCTAACTGATGGAATATGTGGACTTACGCAAAGTGCTGTTTAAATTTCGTAATAATGACAGTGCTTTTTTCTTTAGTGAAAGAAGCTATAAGATGATATAGTAATACATAGCTCAAAAAAGGGAAATCTTAGACAGTTTCAAAAAGAGTAGAAAGAAATGTTGACAAGGCTAAAATCACAGATTTTTTGGTGTTTGTCTATTTTCTCTCTATTTTTTTTTTAAGAGTCAAGGGTCCTGACTTTTTCAAACCTAGTTTCCGTTTCAGTGGGTTTTCAATTACAGAGAAAATCACTTCACCCGCCCCCCCCAAATCAAAATGCCTAGATAAATAAATGTTAGTGTCAAAAAGTATACATTTCTATAAAAACAAATCATGATTGTTATCCTGTGGGTATGATCATTTTCTAACCCAGAATCATGAAAATAATGTTAGTGTTTATGATTGTCAAATATAGGGGTAGAGAATTGACTTTTTTTTTAAAGGTATTTTTATATCTTTAATTTGTAAATAAGGGTGTGTTTTTTTTTGCATTATCATTCATGTTCCTTGCATGACTATATACCCAAATCATTATTGGAATTGCCAAATACTTGAGTTTTACGGCTTTTAAAATTTTTTATATGATTCACAAAGGATTTCAGTCTGCTTATGAAGAAGAGATATACAGGATTTCAAGGCAATTTTTTTTTTTTTGACAAAAATATCTGTTAGAGTTGAGTCACCAGTTTGGCACTGAGCTTTTCAGCTGCCTGCCCAGAGAAAAGGCAATCATTGAAATTACTCGGGGGCCATCTTGCAAAACTAGAATTTTGGAGAAACACATCGATTCCTAATGCTTAAACCCAAGAGAAGTGTCTTTCATGGGTCCTCAAAGAGAAGACATATTATAAGCAAATGAATATTGTCCTCAGTAACACCCTTCCAGAATACAAAGTCATGAATTTCCTGGAGCTGTGACTCAAAGGCACATAACAACAACAACAACAACATTCTATGCAATACTCCCTAGTATGTGTACAGCCGGGGCAGCCTGTCCAATCCTCTTGAATTAGTAACTTGAGGTTTTCTGAGCAGGGATAGTCCATTTAATCAAAGATGGAAACCAGGATGTTGGGACAATGGGTTTTTAAGCATAGTGTCTAGGAACAACCACGGATTATAAACTGGGTGACCCAAATTTTGGTATAACTCTATAGTTAGTTTCAGATATTTTCTTTTACGTAACTACAGTTTACTAAACTCTGTGAACAATGGAAATAATGATTCATTAGTATTGGTGGTTGTGTACCATGGAGTCAGTTCTGAGTCATAGCCAACCACCGTGTAGGGTTTCTGAGGCTGAAAATCTTTAGGAGAGTAGAAAACCTCATCTTTATCCCGTGGAGCAGCTGGTAGATTCGAACTGCTGACCTTGAGGTTAGCAGTTCAATTTGTAGCCTACTACGCTCCCAGAGCTCCTTATGATTCAATGTTGTTGTTAAGTGCCATCTAGTCAGTTCTGACTCATAGTGACCCTGTATAGATAGGGTTGCTAAGGAGCAGCTGGTGGCTTTTTTGAACCGCCGACCTTGTGGTTCAAACCAACCTTGCTGTCCAATGCTTTATCCCATAGCACCCACACCAGGACTCCAAATGATTCATTAGCATAGTGGTTACGAGTCGGGCTGCTGCTGCTCCACAGGAGAAAGTTGAGGCTTTCTGCTCCCGTAAAGATTTACAGCCTCAGAAACCCTATACAGGGTTGCTGTGAGTTGGAACTGACTCCACAGCACATCACCACCACCACCACCACCACTAATTATATACTAAGGTTTATCTCACATAAATAGTACTTAACAGCGCTAAGGACACCTGCTTTCAGTCTAAGATTGCTACAACTCACACACTAGGGATGACATTACTGATTCTCATCTCTAGGAACACCCCGTCTCTCAGGGATTGGGAGCAAAGTTGGCCTGGTTACGGCTTTCTTTCCACCATCTTTATCAAATGGTGGATGAGGGTTAGTAACTCAGCCTGTGACTATGGGCTAAAAGGAAATGAAACCATCCAGGTGCACATAGCCCTGAGAACCCAAGTCCCTGTTGCTATGGTCACCTTGAGTCCAAATTGGTTTAATGGCCCACAGCAAACAAACAGTATGCTCAAAGCAGTAGAACTACTTAGATGGTTATGTGTATAATGTCTCCCAGAAATTACAATTTGTGAACAACACTTGAATGACTATGAACTAGAAAATGATTCTAGTACTTATGCAACAAAAGTCTAGGAAGCTAGGAGTCAGGTAGAGGCTGCAGGTGGCCAGCCAGTGTGGTCACATTAACAGTTGTGTAAAAGATGAATGAAATGTATTTTGTTGGCACTATGAGGTCTACAAATTAAGTTTACAAAGTAAACATATCAACCTTTATGTACATATGTGCTATTTCAAGTAGTTTGCTTGTAAACTGTATACTCATTTCAGTAATTGTTTAATTGCTGAATAGATTTTTCTGATTTCTCTGTGGGGATTGCTGTTAGATCCATTTAATTGTGCCACATTGTCTTAGTCACCTGAAGCATGTGACTAGTTGGAGGTAATGTGAATGATGAGAAAATACTTGTAAGTATCTCATTCCGTTAGCTCAGTTTTAGTGGTTTATTACAGTAAGTTGGTGGCATAAACGTTAGTCCCTATGATACAAATGTTTACCTATGAGCGGGTTCTTTTTTAATGTAAACATGAGTAATTGTCTTATTTAGATTTAATATATCATCTTTACAAAACGGCTATTGAAAGTTCTCTTAATTGGACAGTATTCAAAATTTTAACCTATAATCTTTATTTTAGGACATGGATTTTGTGCGCTTTATCATCAACTGCTTTAAGGTTTATTATCCTAAATACCTCTGTAAGTAACTTACTTTTTTATAAAAATATAACAAATAGAAACTCTAAACATTGTCTAACAATTGTGGAGGCATTTATTAGTTCAGACTTTTAGACCCGAAACCTTCTTTGCTAAAGAAGTGTTTGAAATGCATTCAAGTAGTGAACACGTAATTCCTATTAGGTACAGGAAAGAAATCTTAATAAATAATTATCCTTTATCACTAACTTTAAGAGTTTAAGTTATAAACTCTATATATGGCATACTATACTACACATGTTAAGTGTCATCGAGTCGATTCTGACCCATAGCGATGCTGTGTAGAGTTTACGAGGAGCGACTGGTGGGTTTGAACCGCCAACCTCGCAGTTCAAGCTGATCTTGTAGTCCAGTGCATTATCCTACAGTGCCGATACCCTACTTTCGTAACCTAGAGATTTAGAAATGTCTTGATTTAAATATTCATTATCTGGAAACTGGATAACAGTATTGATAAAGTATGCTGTGTGGTAATATCGACACCAAGCACAAAGCGTGGTATGCTGTTAATAATTGCTATTTTAAAAGTTGCCATTAAGCATATACTTGGCTAGTACATTTGATCCTGGTGTTTCATTAATTGTGACTCTTCTGTTAATTACCTAAAGAACTCCTAAACATTGTATTTTCATTTTATATTTGTTGGATTTATATGATGGTTGTCACAGGAGAAATCAGTGTACCATCCCCAGCCCAGCCTCAGACACACACAGTAAGATATATGTAACCCCATTGGGTGGAAAGTGAACAGACCGAAATGAGGCAACAGAGACCTCAGGAAATGGAGAAATCGGATCATAAAATCCCTAAATCATTGTACTTTGATCATGCTGTCTCATAAATATTCATGTGAAGTGAGGAGCAGACACAAGGCGCTGTGGAGCTCAGCAGTTAGTGCCAACCCTGGCTCTCTTGCCGCTTCGCTTCAGAATCTTGGTGGATGTTTTGAGAGGAAGAGTCTGGATCACCTGTAAGACATGCTGTTCCTCATGAACTCTTCCTTCCTCTGGTATGTCCCCCAGATTCATTAAGGCATGCTGAACAGTGCCTGTTGTTGGGCCAGGAAAGAAATCAGTGCTCCATATTATCAGTGTAATTGTGTTTCTGCTGTACAAAATGAAACTTAAATGTCTAATATTTATTGAACTATCTAGAGATATTTAGGATGAACCACTTATAAACAGTGTACATATCATTCTTATAGAACACATCCACATTCAACTCAGATTTTGGAATGTAACTCATTCATAATCTAGGAACTGCCTATACTTTATGTGTCCTACGTTAATATAAACACTCTCTAAGAGTTCTCTCCTTAGAGAAGAGTAAAATTACATTTTGATTCATCCAAACTTTCCTTTGTGGTTTCTTGTTGTTTCTCACAGTTGTTAACAGGGCTGTTTAATATCTCCATCTCAGTATGCAAATAATACTTCTGTATATTTTGGTATTATTGGCTTTCTGGAGCTCATAATGTTAAGAAGAGTAGGAATACTTTTCCTTAAAACACAATGACTCATAAATCATTGTTGACCTTCAGCAGTAGCATGACGTGCCATATCCCAAGACTTCACTTTCAATGATTTTCTTTCATGACTTTTGCAAAACAAAGGAGTAGGTTCCACAAAGTGTTTGCCACAGGCCAGTGATAGTATTCATTTTCCACAGACAGGCATCCATCCTGGGCGGGCCCTGGACCGTACTGAGATGGGTTTTTGTCTAATACCATTTAGGCTCCGCTGAATTAGAAATCAGTCAACCAGCTCAATTTTCAGTTACATCTAAGGGATCCATGTTTTCTAAGTAATTGAAACATTGCTACTAGAGGCACCAAGTCACATTCAGGATTTTCTTTTTTGTCTTTTAGCAAAATTGGTCATCTTTGATATGCCTTGGATAATGAATGGTGAGTTTATTGTTTATACTTTGCTAAAATAAAGTGTTTTCCTTTTTGCTAATCTAAAATCTGCAGATTTAAAACAAAACAAAACAAAATGCTTATATTGTACTTGGCATGCATTCATAGAATCTGGAGCTAGAACACCCAAAGACTATTCCTAAGAAAACTCGGCACAAGGAGTATCCACTAGTGTTCTCTAAAAACAGCCTCAAAAGTCTCAAGCACTCAAATGAAACTATGAGAAGAAGCCTCAGTTTGTCACCACAGTTAGGCTATGTCATAGAACACAGACCTTGGCTAGATTTTCTCTTGGGCTTCAGGTGTTGTGGTGGTGGAAGGTTAGATGAATCTGAAATTCACTCCAAATCCATAGTAACATGAACCTTATGACAGTTAAATGACATTTTGACTTAAAAAAAAAAGTCATTGAAACACTGTATACCAGCTTACAAACTTTGTAAAGTGATTGCAAGTTTAATGTTCAGAGTGCTTGCGTGAGTCAATTATTAAATCGGAAACCTACTGAATCAATGAAACTGAAAGTAAAAGTTGGTTCTTGGAAAAGATCAACAAAGTTGACAAAGCCGTTAGCTAAATTGAAAAAGAGGAAAAAGACTCAAAGATAAGGGAAATACTGTGAATCATTGTATACTGACAAATTACTTCATCTAGATGAAACAGACACATTTCTAGTAACACACACCTCATCTTTCTTTCACAGAACTGCTGACTTTGAGGTTCGCAGCCCAATCCATAACCACTATGCTACCAGAGCTCTTGTGGTACCACAATTACCCAGACATTTAATGCTTATTTTACATTTTATTTCCTGAAATTATTTTCATTGACTTTTTTTGCAAATTTAAAGAGCATTACTTGTTTTCATTTCTTAAAACTCTGTGTAGAATAAAAACAAAAGCCTAACCAACCAGTTGCCATTGAGTTGACTCCAACTCATGCCGACCCCATGTGGATCAGATTAGAACTGCTCCATGGGTTCAGTGGTTGATTTTTCAGCAGTAGATCACCAGGCCTTTCTTCCTAGGAGCCTCTGGGCATTCTGGAAGCACTTGCTTTTCTGTTAGCAGTGAGCGTGTTAACTCTTTACACCACCCAGGGCCTCTCTGCTTAGGATAGCCTAGTGGAAATAAGATTGAACAACTTAAGTGTACATGATAATAAATGGCATGGCAGACAAGATGTAATTACCAAGCAGGTGTGTTTGCATGCAGTGGAGCCTGGCATGGTCCATAGATTCTCCAGTTATATAAGCTGCAGGGTCTGTGGGAAGGAAGACTCGGAGGTTAGTACCCCCAGCCTTCAGGTAGTTCACACCCTTGATATTAGGGTTGCTTCCTTCTCTTCCAATCTTCTCATTTGAATCATTTTTCAGATTGGGGGGTTGTCAGAACCATAATGTAAGTGACTCTTCCCAAACAACTCTGTGGTCCCTTCCTTGATCCACACTGAGGTATGATGTAGTGCCGGAGAATCTTAGGAGTTGTTCCAGGGCCCTTGAAAGTTAATGAACTTCAGGATCATTTAGCCTTCCCAAGTGTAAGTCAGCAGTTCGAAACTACCAGCTGCTCTGCGGGAGAAAGATGAGGCTTTCTGCTCCCATAAAGATTTACAGCCTCGGAAACCCTGTACAGGGTCGCTACGGGTCAGAACTGACTCGACGGCACTTAACAACAACAAGAAGTCTTCAAGTTTATGGGACGTTTGAAACCCCTAAAGGACCGTGATGGTGTACAAACCTGTAGGAATTCGAAGCCATAGCTAAAGGATCATGCGATTTAAAGATAAGGTGATTTCAGCAGACCTGAGTTAACACATACAGTGGATTAATTGAGAAAGAGAATTGAAAGAATTTGACAGTGAAAACAATTTTAATGAACATTTTAATGGTTTTCTTTCAGCTGCTTTCAGAATTGTGAAAACTTGGCTGGGTCCAGAAGCAATGAGCTTGTTGAAATTTACAAGTAAAAATGAAGTCCAGGAGTATGTCAGTGCAGAATACCTGCCTCCCCACATGGGTGGAACTGTAAGTATACCACTTGAAAGTGTTTGCTTGAAAGTTAAGACACATAATGGCACATTAGACTCTGTTTCCTCAAGAAAAGAAGAAAACACTGAGAGAGATTACAGACACCCCAAAGTGGCAAGCAATCTTACAGACACTGAATCTTGAACACTGGTTGCTGTTTTGTTTTTCTTTCTGAGTAGGTAGTATTTTTGCATGATTCTGAATTGAAAAGGTATAAACAAGTTTCCATAGCTGTTGCCAGTTTTCTTTTTCTGTGAGCCTGTTTCATTCCTTTACCCCTTGGGTTGTTAGTCTTTATCTTGTTGATTTTTACACATTCATGAATGTCTTTTGTTTCCAATAAGTGGTGTAGATATTTTTCTAAATTTTGGCCTTAAAAAAAAAAATTGTTTTTTTTTTTGTTTTTGTTTTTCAGGTTGTTTTTTTGTTTAGTTTCCTTTGGTTTTTGTCAGTTGCATTGGTTGGATATGATTTTTTATCCACTTGGAAATGTTTCATTTTAGTATGT